ACCTTGTCGATCATGGTGTCCGCTTGGAGGTTCTTCCCCACCTCCGACTTGTGGTACACGGCGAGATCTTTCTTGAGGTGATTCGCCTCAGCCTGGTACTCCTTCAGCTCTTTTCGATATTGATCCTTGGCCTTATTCGCCCTCTTCAGCTCCTCCGAGAACCCTCGCGCCTCGCTACGGCGCCGCTCCGCTTCCGCTTGATACTTGTCACGCTACTCAATCAACTCCGTCTACCTCTCGCGCAGGCTCCACTCCACCTCTGCCATCTCCGCCTGAGAAGCGGCGGCTTGCGCTTCGTAGCGCTCCTGGCACGCCTTCTCGACGGACGCCTTTATCTTCTCGAGCTCCGCCTCGAGGCCGATTGATAATTTAGGGTCCCAAGCCTGGGCCTCCTTCTGTGCCTCATCCCGGGCGTTGGTCAGAGCCTCATGCGTCTCATGGGCGGCTTCAAGCTCACTACGGAGGCGCTCAGCAGTATCGTTAGAGGCCAAACTCTCCTTAGCCATCCGATCGAATTCATGCGCGGTGGATTTAATCAGCATCATCATCTGACACATACACAATATAACAAGGTTATCGACTTAGGCATATTGAAAGAAGGCTCAGTTAGAAACCTAGAAAGCTGAAGAGACAGGCGCCTTACCAAGGCGGAGAGGTTGGCCATGGTGCGAAGGGGGCGGTTGGAGTTGAGATGGTCGGCGGCGCTGGGGTCCTTGGCCGCCTTGATGGGCACGCCTACAACAACCTTCTCCAATGGCCGGGAAGGAGGCTGAAAATAAGAGACAACGTCTTCCCTGTGTGCTCCCCCACGCTTGCCATCACCAAGCTGGCCGGCACGCCTCGATCTTGGAGGGAGCAGGAGGCGCCCTGGCTTTGTTGGGATTGGGAGGCGCCTTGCTCGTCGTCAATGTGGATGGGAGAGTTGTATGATGGCTGGGGTGGCTCGGTGGCAGCAGGGGAAGGCGTGCGGTTCGCCGGCACGGCTGGCGAGGAAACAATCTTCACAAGCACAGGCTTCTTGCGTGGAGGCTGTGACGGCGCGGCGGGAGCTTTGCAATCTTGCCGCGTGCGCGAGGCGCTGGAGGGGATGAGATTGATCTTTGAGCGAATGAGGTCGGAGACGAAAGTGAACACTGTGCCTGAAAAAGAAAAAAAATTTGTGCGTCAGACGGGCGCATAAGCGGGTGAAAAGTGCATGAGAGTAGGCACATGAAAATACCATCGACGTAGAATTTCGCTAAGTGACGAGCATACTTGTCATTTATTTCAAGTTTCAGGGGCACATACGCGAGGCGCCACGCCATGTCTTCCTTCGCCTTGTTGAGGTCGGGGTGTTTATTGAACTCAGTTTCATCTCCGAAGGACCACTGAGTTAGGGGCGCGGCGCCGCTCTCGAAGAAAGGCGTGTCGCGCGGGCGGATGAAGAAAAAAGACTCGAACCACCAGCGCCCCATCTTCTTAGTGGCTAATAAAGTTGTACCCCAGTTTGGGGTGCCTTTGCAGGCTGAAGCAGTTGGGGCTTCTAACATAACGAAAAAATGGCGGAAAAGTTTGAAGGAAGGAAGGATGTTGTGTTGACGGCACTTGAGGCGGAAGAGCACTGTATACAAGATGATGACGGGAGAAAGGCACCCTAGCGAACACTGGCACAAATGGAGCACGCCTTCAAGAATTGGGTTGATGGGGAAGCGGAGCCCAAAGCGGGCGTATTCTTGGTACACGCCGATCCAACCCTCTCCGCAAACCCCCACGCGCACGATGGGAGAGGGGTGCGCGTAGCGCCAGTCTGCGGACATCTGTGCCGCCCAAATTAGTTTGGTGAAGCGGGAGTACAGGATTTTGGACCATGTGGCGGCCCGGCGTCGGCCTCGAACATCAGGTTAATGTCAGTGGGCATATACCTAGGTGGCCACATCTCGAGACGCGCCGGTGCCTACGTTAGAAGAAGAGGAGGATGTCAAGAAAGGCTCTCAAGGGGGAATGCTATGGGAAATAGGGGGCGCTAAAGTGTGGCGCGGGGGGCGCTCATGAACAACGTAAGATAAGAATGATTTTTTTTCCTCGCTCCTCGCGGGGCGCGACGTGTGACCACAAGGCGCGTAAGTAAAAGGCGGTCCATAATTTGCCAAGCAAAAATTGGGGAGTACCTGAGGCGGCGGCGAAAACGGTAGAGGGCGCGACTGGAGCGCCGGAAGGCGCGGCGAGGCGCTGGAAGGCGCGGCGGGAGCCCCGGAAGGCGCGGCTTTGGAAGAACCGGGTTGGTTTGTGGAAGCCATGACATGAGGAGCGTAGATGGTGGGGGAGGAAATCTCACAACAGCGCGAGGTGCCTAGTAGCAATGGCCGAGAGGATGGCCGAGGGTGCGCGCGGGTCACTTGAGAGCAGAGCAGAGCAAGTTAGAGAGAGGAAGTAGAGATGAGTTTTGGCAGAATGAAGAAGGAAGAAGCAGGGGGGCAATTTATAGGCCAAAAAAGGGGGAGAGAGAGGGTGAAGCGAGGGAGGGGAACCGTCACCTAGGCTGAGTCAAATTCAAATTTTGAAATTTGAATTCGCTTCAGCCTAGAGGGGAGAGAATGGGCCGATGGGCGAGGCGGAAGCCCAACAGTCCACCCGCAATAAATAGAAAAAAGCATAACAAGAAAAAGAAAAAATTAATTCACGATGGAAAAATGGAAAAGAAAGGAGGAGGGGAATAAATAATGAGAGGAGTGTAGGTGCTCAGTGGAGGCGTGACGCGCAAGGCAGCGGGGAAGGAGAGAGCCGAGCCACGGACGACAGTTGTCGGGAAGAAAATGAGTGGCGGGTGAGGAGACTCCAAGCGCAGCGCGCGCTTCCAGGGAGGGAAATGGAAAAAGGGCGCGAATCAGGGCCCAGAGGCGCTTCTCGGGACACTGAGGGTAGTTAGGCCCCTACCAAATGGCAGGCGCCTAACTGGGGGGCAATTGTTGGGGGGCATGCAGGAAGCCCAAAGGAGGAGCCCAGAGAGTCGAAGTGGGCCAGAAGTGCGGGCCTGGCAAGGGGAAGACCCAACCCAAAAGGGGTTGGGGGCTGTAACCTAGGTGGTGGGACCGGGCGTGACGTAAGGCGCATAACGACAAAGGTGGCAACGACCAGGAACGTACGGAGGGGACAGAATGTGGGGTCATGCGCCTCGGTATCGAGAACTTATGTTAGAATGTCGGGGCGCATGGCATCGGTAAGGTACAATGCATTTAATGAGGTGATGACGTAGCGCGGATTCGGGGGGCAGTGGTCGACCCTACCCGAGGTATAAATAGTGAAGTTGGTGGAGCTCATTTACTCAGGTTCGAACTTCTCTCTAGAACTACACTTCACTTCTCTCTCTAAAAAGACTGTTCTAACTTGGGCGTCGGAGTGCTAACAAGCCCCAAGTAAGGGGTTCGGTGGGCGTCTTCGTGTGCAGGAGCGAGGCGCGAGGCAGGGACGAGTCCAGAGTAGGAGGGGCGCCTTGGTCATCGGGGGCGTCGGGTTACTTGGCATAAACATCAAGATAGCAATATACAGCGATGGAGACAGCGAGGATCAATGAGACAGAAATCTAAACGAGAGAAACTGACTTACATTCTGGTAATTGAGAACATTATCGATTATTATAATTCCTAAATTTATACAAAATTTAAATGTAATTTAAATTATATTTTGAAGTTGAGGGGCTACAACTCCTCCTAACTCCACCACTCACAATATATTTTTATAACACACCACGGACAATATATTTTTTTATAAAAAATATATTTTTTTATAAAAATTTGATATACGTCTAACTTATACATCATATAATTCGGGAGAGGGTGGGCTTTTCGTCCTAAATTTGTACGTAATATAAAATTATTGGAAAAATAGCAGTAGAACAAATAACATTTAAATATTATGACTTCACAAGATGTTGCCGCCGTTTTAGGAGGGCGTCCCTGAATTCCTTTGTCGGAACTCAGAACCATTCCTCGATCCCGGCCGGGCTGACTTTTTTTTACCCAACAATAAAAAAAATGACGTGGGTAGATTTGCATGTGAGTTTAATGTGGCGTGGTAGCGGCATTGCGGCAAGGAGATCATGTTCATATGGCATCTGCAAGCACCTTTTCCCCATTTGCAACCTTTGATTCGTCTGGAAACCAAGTAAAGTAGCCCTCTGTTTGTTTGCAGAGCAAGCTTGGTAACAAACAAGTAACAACGAACGCTGTTTCTCTTCTCCCTTCTTCATTTTTTTATGTTGTTTTTAAATACCGGTCAAATCCTTGGGATTTCTAAAAGCAAGCCTTTGCCTTTTGCTTATCACAGCTATACTCGGTCTACTGATCAAGTTACTTGTACTTATATTATTATATATACAGAATCTTGCCTTTTCCATCGGTCGGCTCCTGAAACTATGCCGTTGCTCAGTTTCCCTACGTGTTAATTAGGACGTTACTCGTGGGTTGTTTGTCGAAAATAATTAGGACGTTACTCGTGTTAATGAAGAGAAGCTAAGCTAGCTGTTCAGCTCCTCAACACATAATATGTACGTAGGGTCTGTTTGTCGAAAATAATTACCCAATAATTAAAGATTATTTAATTAGCCTAGCATAGTTGTGTCACAAACATTTTTATTCACACCAACGATTCTTGCAGAGTGAGTTGTAGTTGACACTGGTGGTACTTACGTTTTGTATCCAGAAACACCAACGATCAACTCTGGTGGTACTTACGTTTTGTATCCAGAACACACAATTGTAGTTGACACTACTTTAGTAAAAGACAATTGGTAATTAATTACTAAACCCTAATTACCATTGAACTGCTGATTCCAACCCAGTATAATTAATAGTACAACAACAATCGAAGACATACATTAATCCATTTACAGTAAGAAACAAAATTCTCCCATCTCTTTCACTCTCCCTAGCTAGCTACCAAAAAACTGTGCACAATAGCAATAGTATTGGTTACATTACATATATAATATATCCTTTTGTAGAAGGTTTGCTTTCTTTTTCCAGCAGTACAATAAGCATTTATTTCTGCAATGGATCCCTTAGGATCACTTACTCTCAAGACAAAATAAAATAAAAAAGCGTACGGTAAATAAATATTTTTCATCAAATTTGAGAATGTTATCATGTCACGTATACCTCCCAAATGTGGTTTATTCAACAACGAAATCCAGCATAAATAATAATAATAATAATAATAATAATAATAATAATAATCACCAAACAATTAATAATCAATAACACGATCACCGCCGAACATGGATCATTCAAGGGTAGTTGCACATGCCGTAGACGCAGAGCTGCGGGCTGGCGCAAGGAGCGTTGCACTTGCCGCAGTGGCGCTTGTCGAGAGATAGATAAACGCACTGGCCGCCGCAGCAGTCGTCCTTGAAGGCGCACTTGTTCTTGCAGGCGCCGCAGTTCTGCTTGTCGACGGCGACGTTGATGCACTTGTTGTTGCAGCAGTCGAAGTCCTTCCCGTACAGCTCCTGGCACAGCCCCGGGTCCTTGTTGCAATGGTCCGCCGCCCGAGGGTTCTTCGTCTGCCCGATGCCGCCGCCGCCGTTGCCGTTGTTGCCTCCGTACCCCGGGGTTCCGTCGACTGGGGCCTCCTCCTTGAGGAAGCGGCTCAGCCTCTGGGACGGCTCGGCAGTAGCAGCCTCCGCGGCTTCCGGCACCTCCTGGTCGACGACAGTTCGCATGGTGAGGGTGACGGAGAGGGCGGTGGCGACGAAGATGAGAAGGATCGTCTTCATTAGAACGGTGGCCATGGTTGCTCTGACGATGATGAGTTGCTTTCTGTTGTGGAGAAGATTGGGTGGGGGGGAGCTGATGGTTTGTGTTGAGAAGGAAATGGAGAGAGTTGGACTTTGGGGTTTATAGCTGTGGGCGGAGAGTTGACGCGGGGAAGGTGGTGAAACGCGGGAGAGGTACGTAGCACACTTGGGAATGTGGGCTTTTACGATGAGTGTGCTTGATAGTTGGTTATATTTCAAGGGTACGTTTGCTTTGATAGAAATATATGCATATGCATGTCCTTTGGCAAATTAATAGTCAACAGAACAAAGACAAGCAAACTTCTTCTTCATTCTCCCGTTTTGACTCAAAGCGGTAATCCAACATGAATGAGTTTTTACTTTTTGTTGCATAGAAAGCGGTTTTACAGTTTATGACAAGGGCTGACGAATAGGGACAAGATTAGGTGATTAAGATGTTTGTTCACTTCATTAGGTTCATCTCAATTATAGATGGTATTTTTCATTTGATGAAAACTTGTTGTGATTAATGCATTTTATATTGTTTTTTTGACAATATATTAAAATTTTCTATTAAAAATAAAACAATCATGTCATTGAGAGGGGTGGATCGTAGTTTTTGTGAGAGGATTGAGCGACGCAACAGAAGGAGGAGAACGCCGATGATCCGCCATAGTCGATGTCAAAGGAGGGAGAGGAGAAAGGTAGAGCGTGTCATTTTATTTCTCTATTCCTTTGGAACAGAGAGAGACGACATCGGATTGTCGTCGATGGTTTTTGAGAATGCACAGTGGAGAGAGAGGGGAAAACAACGGTTGTTTTGTAATGTAAGTCCTGTTCACTCATGTTAGGGTTAATATATTTGTATTGCCTAAACTTTGACCAAAATAAACATCCCGACCAATTTTTTCAATTTATAACATTCTGGCTCAAATTATACATCAAAATAACGAAATTGGCCAAACCCAATGTTTGACCGTTAACTTGGACGGTCAAACGCATTGACTAATGGTCAATGCGCCACGTCACTGCCAACTCAGCAATTTTGAACAAAAAAATAAAAAGAAAAAGAAAAATGCATTTAGTTTTCGGGACCAGTTGCTTACCCTACCGCCCACGATTCTGCTCTCCCGCCTCACTCCCTCTCCTTCCTCTTCGCAGTCAAGCCTTCCCTCCCTTCCGCCAGAGCAGCCACCACCATCTCAACTACCCAATTTATGTTCATCGATTCTCTTCATCCAAATTGCTCCACCTACCACTGGGTCATTTCATTCGACGACTGGCTCCACGTCAGTCGCCTGCAATCTGATTTGGGGAATTTTATGAGCATCATCGGGTCCCTGTTCCTCGCCATCGTTGAATATTGCGAGATTGAGGGCTGCGCCACCCTCCCTGACTTCTCTCTTCCTCGACCGCTAGTCAAATTGCAGCAACGCCTAGCTGCGATGAAGCTTCTTCTCGTTTGGGCAGAGTATCAAGATCGGAGATCCAGATCTGGATCTGTCACGAAGAAGGCCGACAGAAGGAGACATGCTTTGCTGGATTTGAAAGTCCCCGCTTCCTCGTCGCTGTTAGCTGCCGCCGTGAAAAGACCGCGCTCTCGTCGTTGCGCAAGTCTGAGTCAGCGGGGGAGAGTTCTCGGCGGGAATCTACTGTTGCATTTGGCTTGTTGGGAGGATGGGATTTAGGGTTTGGCTTGGGGATTTTTTTTTTTGTGGAAGGATTACGGTGGCGGAGGCAATCTTAGGAGAACGCCCGCCGCTGCATTTTCGCCAGACGAGGGAGAAAAGTCGGTGGCGAGAAGGAAGGTGAGAGTGAGGGGATGCAGGGTTTTCCCGAAATTCATTTTTCATTTTTCAATTTTTTTTATTCAAAATCGAAAATAGCAATAGGTGGAAAATATACAATTTTTTAAGGAAAGGGTGCTGACTTGCCAGTGATGTGGCGCACTGACCGTTAGTCAACGCGTTTGACTAGGGGTGTTCAAATGCTTACAATGGTCATAACCAAACCAATTAAGCCTAAATTTCATTAACCATGAAATAAAATTTCTTGACCAAACCATCCAAATTAACACGAAAACCAAATTAACCAAACCAAAGTTTAATTGGTTTGGTTAATCGAATAATTGGATTAACCAAATAACATAACATTACATGAAAATAATTATCCTGTTAATGAATAAAATATAACCATATGTTATTACTATCATAAACTATCATTTTATATAAGCAATAATAATAAGACTAACCATCCAAGATTACCATCATCATTCAAGTTAATTCATCATCTCTGCACCTAATATAGTTAGCTTACAACAAACCCTTAACATAAATATTAAATACATATCAATACCACTCATTAGTAAGTTAAAGCTCTCCTACGAAATACTTAAACTATACATAGTTTGAGGTGGTTGTCATGGTATTGTACGTAATCCTAAAGTCTAGTAGCTGTCCAAAATGTTTGGTTTAGAAAATAGGCAGACCCATTTAATTTTTGACCCATAATGTTTTGGTTTGTTGTGAACATGGAAATAAAATAGGGAATCATGAAAGTTTGGTTTGGTTGGTTGCATGAAAGTATAAATAATTTTATATATTATGTGTATCATTAATTGGTTAATTGGTTTCATTGGTTAGCAGTGTTGAAACCAAACCAAACCACCTAAACCAAATAAGCTAAATTATTTAACCAAACCAAACCAATTATCCAAATTCACCAAACCAAATTAACCGAATGCTACCGGTTAATATGGTTACCACAGTAACCAATCCGTTTGAACACCCCTACGTTTGACCGTTCAAGTTATTTTAAAGTATAGTTTGGGTCAGGATGTTATAGATCGAAAAGATTGGCCAGGATGTTTATTTTGATTAAAGTTCAGGCCATACGAATATATTACTTCATGTTATTAGTAGTTTGTACTGTAAATTAGTCTAATTTGTTATGTAAAGTCATTTTGCTTTGTGGTGCTTGTTGTTTTTGTTTGTAATAGCAAAAGAGTATAGTTTGTAATGAAAGTGGTGTTAGTATGTGTAATGGAAGTAATGTTGGTTTGTAATGTAAGTAATGCTGATTTGTATGGAAAGTCTTGCCAACTTGTATTGGGCAACCTAATTTGTATTATAGTTTTTTGTATGTATTGCATGCTTTTTTATATGATTTTTATATTATGTTCTTCTATTAGTTTGTATATAAGGTATTATCAATTTGTACTTTTACCAAACTTACATATCTTGTAATATTAGTTGGTATACTTTGTAACATTAATTTTCGACTAATACTACTAAAACACCCCCAACTATAAAAAATGTCACTTGTGTCATATTTTGTTCAATATGACAATCCTAGAACAACGTACGATACTTTTGTGACATTTGTTTCCCAACTCTTTTGTTGACCGTTAGATAACAGTTGACCTAGGAATATTGACATAACAAATTAGTAGCAGGCACATAGATGCCACATCATACTTTTATTTCAAAATTAAATCAAACTAAAAATTAAAATTTTTGGAAAAAAATAAAAAAAGGCCTCCTCGCCCCTGCTTTCCCTCGAGCTTCAAGAACTGAATCTTAGCATCACTGATTTGATCGGCAACGAGTGAAGAGCCCTTCTAGTGTGCTCTATAGCACCCATGCTATAAAAAACAAAAAAAATAAGGTGACCTGTTGAGGAGGTAAACCCAATAAATGACTGGTCCCACATCATTAATGGCAATCTTGTAAATAATGAATCAATGTATACAAGTGTAGGTACAAATTAGAGTTGTACCATATAGTATAGGTACAAGTTTCAGCTGTACAATTGAAGAATTTGTTTCACAAAGTGTAGGTACAACATAAAGTTGTACCATTAGTATAGGTACAATTTTGAGTTGTACCATAAAGGGATTTGTTAGAAAGTGTAGGTACAACTTAAAGTTGTACCATGGTATAGGTACAAGTTTGGGTTGTACCATAAAAGAATTTTGAGAAAGTGTAGGTACAACTTAAGTTTGTACCATTAGTATAGGTACAATTTTTAGTTGTACCATAAAAGAATTTGTTAGAAAGTGTAGGTACAACTTAAAGTTGTACCATGGTATAGGTACAAGTTTGGGTTGTACCATAAAAGAATTTTGAGAAAGTGTAGGTACAACTTAAGTTTGTACCATTAGTATAGGTATAATTTTTAGTTGTACCATAAAAGGATTTGTTAGAAAGTGTAGGTACAACTTAAAGTTGTACCATGGTATAGGTACAAGTTTGGGTTGTACCATAGAAGGATTTTGAGAAAGTGTAGGTACAACTTAAGGTTGTACCATTAGTATAGGTACAATTTTGAGTTGTACCATAAAGAGATTTATTAGAAAGTGTAGGTACAATTTAAAGTTGTACCATTAGTATAGGTACAATTTTGAGTTGTACCATAAAAGGATTTGTTAGAAAGTGTAGGTACAACTTAAAGTTGTACCATGGTATAGGTACAAGTTTGGGTCGTACCATAAAAGAATTTTGAGAAAGTGTAGGTACAACTTAAGGTTGTACCATTAGTATAGGTACAATTTTTAGTTGTACCATAAAATAATTTTGAGAAAGTGTAGGTACAAATTAAAGTTGTACCATTAGTATAGGTACAAGTTTGGGTTGTACCATAAAGGGATTTATTAGAAAGTGTAGGTACAACCTAAAGTTGTACCATGGTATAGGTACAAGTTTGGGTTGTACCACAGAAGGATTTTTAGAAAGTGTAGGTACAAATTAAAGTTGTACCATTAGTATAGGTACAAGTTTGGGTTGTACCATAAAGGGATTTATTAGAAAGTGTAGGTACAACTTAAGGTTGTACCATTAGTATAGGTACAATTTTTAGTTGTACCATAAAGGGATTTGTTAGAAAGTGTAGGTACAACATTAAGTTGTACCATAGTGTATAGGTACAATTGTGAATTGTACCATAGAAGATTTTTAGGAAAGTGTAGGTACAACTTTAAGTTTAGTGTAAAGGTACAACTCTAGAATGTGAGCTTTTGACGGGTTTAGGAAAGTGTAGGTACAACTTTAAGTTTAGTGTAAAGGTACAACTCTAGAATGTGAGATTTTGACGGGCGTGACAATGTCAAGTAGTAGCCGTGAAATTTCCTGGGATAGTGAGAACTGCTCTTTGCATCTCACGGGACATCGCACGACCGTGATATTTGCCTGAGGAATGAAGCACTGCTTTTTACATCTCACTTGAGTATTTTACGGTCGTGAGATTACCAGTATAAGGTGTCAGATTTCCAGTAGGAGACCTTCACCTGTTGAACTATCCCGTGTACTTATTATAATGGTGTTTCAAACAGAATGGATTTTTTTCCAGAACTTCAAACTTATGAAAAAGATGATTCATAATGTTCTCTAAACCTTGACACGAGCATTACATAGATCCATTCACAATGTTCTCTAGCAACTGTACATCATATCAGATGAGATACCCTGTTAACAAAAAGTAAAACGCAGTCAAAGCATTACATTTGTCTAATAAAACAAGCATCCATAACACGATTAAATCTGTCTAATTAATGCTTAAGTTTAGCTGCATGTAGCCCACACTAGTGCATCGTCATATTCTAATTGGAAAACATACAAGCACAAACGCAAACACACATAGCTAAGTACTAAGGACTTTTGTTGGCTCATCTTCACTGCCCATTTTCCTCGTCAGTGCTCTCGTCCTTGTCTTCGTTTTGCTGGATTTGCTCATCTTCATTGTCCTCGCTAGAGTCACTGCCCTCTTCCTCATTGGTCCCTTTGTCCTCTTGATTTATTTCCTTGTTTTGTTCATTGCCATTGTCCTCGTCGTCCTCTTCACTGCCCTCTTCCTCATTAGTCTCTTTGTCCTCTTGATTTCTTTCCTTGTTTTGTTCATTGCCATTGCCATCGTCGTCCTCCTCTTCACTGCCCTTTTCCTCATTGGTCCCTTTGTCCTCTTGATTTCTTTCCTTGTTTTGATCATCGCCATTGCCCTCGTCGTCCTCTTCACTGCCCTTTTCCTCATTGGTCTCTTTGTCCTCTTGATTTCTTTCCTTGTTTTGTTCATTGCCATTGCCCTCGTCGTCCTCCTCTTCACTGCCCTTTTCCTCATTGGTCCCTTTGTCCTCTTGATTTCTTTCCTTGTTTTGATCATCGCCATTGCCCTCGTCTTCCTCTTCACTGCCCTCTTCCTCATTGGTCCCTTTGTCCTCTTGATTTGTTTCCTTATTTTGTTCATCGCCGTTGCCCTCATCGTCCTCTTCACTTCCCTCTTCATTGCTTTCCTCGGTTGGCCTAGGAGATAGTTCCCAAGGTGTTGAGAATTTTTTGTAGTCAATCCTCAAGGACCTCATGATGTGATGGTTGCATTTGATGATGTAGCGTCGAGCTTCCTTTTCTCGATCGAGGCGGGAGAGAATGAGTGCATTTTGCTCGAGAATTTGGGCATTCTGTCGACCCAATGCCTCAAAATGGGAAATGTATCTGTCGGTGGATGGTCCGGCTTGAGTCGTAGTTTGGTGATGTTGTGCAGGTTGTTGCGGAGACTCCTCGACCATTTGCTGAACAACATGCTCCGATGCGTTTGCCTCATCTGTTGCAAGAGGTGGAGCAGGATGAGGGAGGCCAACAATGCCTACCACACCATTCTCCTTAACCACCAAACACAGACATGATCAATATCAGAAGCATTAGTTACATTTGCTCAATGTTCAAAAGGAACTAGATTAGTAGGCAATCCAAAACTTGCACAAAATCAATCCTAGATTGTTTGAATCCCGACTAGTTCTGTTTTAGCATTCACTGTGAAAAGGAAAGTGTTGGTTGGAACATTTACCTTTGACAACAAATATAGATCCGCAAGGTTTTTTTTGGGAGATTGGTTGAGTGGACTGGGCAATGGTGCAATGAGAACCCACCGGATCAATGCCAAAATGCCGAGCTAGCCTTGTGATGTAGGCACCTCCATGGATGGTCTTGATTTGTTTGTTGGAGGTCATCTTCTGTAGGGTTTTCAGTATGACTAAACCAAGATG